GACCATATACATTCAAGTTAACTTGAAAAGAAAAAATTATTTCAAATTTCATTGATATTTTAAAGATCTATAATTGAAATGATCAAGTAAGCCAGTGTAAAGAAATTTTCAATTATTTAATAGTCAAATAAAAGAGAAAACGACAATAATATGTTCTTGACAATAAAAAACATGGAAATAGTTTTAGTTCATTTACTTGAAGAGTTATTCCTAGAAAAAAAATAGATAAATAAAGATTTTATATTTAATATATAATAGTGAGTTTTCTTCAGATACTTTCAGCATTCTGATCAAATAAATTTTAAGTAATTATTCATATAAATAATTGTTTCTGATTGAAACTTATTCTTCTTTGAAAAGATTAAATAACTTAGCTTTTGTGGTTTTCTTTTCATAAAGATAAAAGAATTAGCATATGACATTCCTGAGTACATTGAACACTTGAACCAGGCATATATATATATATATATATATAACTTCATTCTGAATGAGATATTTATTATTTTTGACAATGATTTTAGTCCAATGCCAATATGTATCCAATAAGTGATCCTCTGTAACAACAATCTCTTTATAAAAATTAATCATATATACAGATGCATGTTTATATATTGATAGTATGTGTTGTGAGAGTAGTTACAAAAAGAAGGTTCAGTAGCAAAACAAGTAAGATGATAGAAGGAAATTGAGAGAGATAGAAAATCACAACGAAGAAGCACTTAGACAGCCAAACAATTGTTGTAGTGGGTGGAGACAAGTTGTATCTTCATTATTTATTTCTAAAGCATCAGTTCCCATTAAAATGAATTGACTGACTAGCTATTTCTACATACCAACCGACGAATTCTGTTTTCCTTTTTTTGACTATAATTAGACATGCCATCTTTATTGTCGATGTTGAAACTATAAAAAAATAGGATTGGAAACAGTCAGACAACGTCATTTTTCTTTTTTTGTTTCTCTTATTTAGAATTAGCATGCGTTAAGCAACACATATTGATATTTATACAAAAATAGATTCTAAAGATTTGTGAACTCTTTTTCTTCTTAATAAGAATCATACTAATAATAATCATAATGTTTTCCACTATCATCAGCACTCTTTTCCTGTTTTTTTTTTGTATGACAAGCAAAGCATAATTCTTTTAGTATTCCTATCATCATTGTGTTCACTGTTCATATGTTTGAATCGATCAATCATTATTGCATCTCGTTTATTTTTCTCTCTCTTCCTCTCTGAGTTTTACCTGCGTACACTCAACCTATGCTATTAAAGAATGGACGCAAATATGAAAGTTTGCTTGCTTATGCTTGGCAAATTCATAGACATCCGGTCTTGCTACCAAGCAAATAAACGCCTTTATCCAAAAGCTGATTTTATACTCGTGGGACAGTATAATAGAGATTGGAAAAGAAGAAAAAGATGAAGAAAAATGTGCCGATTCAATATCTTAACTACTAATATTCCTGGCAGAACAACAAGAGAGAAAGTGAGTGAGTAAGTAAAAAAGACAGAAACAAAGTTGTTCTCTTATTTCTTCTACTTCGTTTTCTTTTATGCTTTCGTGTCTATATTCCTTTTAGTGTGCTGTCTCTTTCAGTAATAGTTGAAATATGTTCTCCTGCTCATAGTGTGGGTATTGGAGCCGATCGATAATATGCAAACGATCGAGAATTACTGCCGTTGTCGGCATCTTTGTGCGTTCTCTCTCTCTCTCTCTCTCTCTCTCTGTCTTTCACCACTTCTCTATTTCGCTTTTCCACTTGTGCTGTTAGTCGGAAAAACTTCTATCAGAATGTCTACTGTCCTGGTGTGTTTGCACAAATCACATTATAATCTCATTGTCGCTGTTTGCCGCTCGACCAAAAACTACTGGCATGGATATATTTTTCCTGTTTTACCGTATGGGAATTGTTAAAGCATAATGAGAAGTGCTGAAGCATGCATAATAGTTCCGTAGTTATTTTTCTCTTTATTTTACACCATACATTAGATATATGAGATTATTAATTAAACAGAGAAGAATAGAAGATGGAACGTAAATTTTTTGTGGCTATTTGATTATATTCTGTTTTATGGGGCATAAACTTATTCATGGTGTTATTTTCTTTGTAAAATATCATATAGAGTTTTTGTTTATTGCCATTAACTATTTGAAACAAAATTATAATTTTATTGTTGAATGTTTATGAGACTTCTGATGGCGTTAATCATAAATGAAAAGATCTGAAATTCGAATCTATTACAATTTGTTTATGATTGAGGACATTTTTTATTGCATGCGTATCACTTTTTCTTTTTCCATACTGTTTTTACTGTCTCATTTGTTCTATCACAAATGCTCACGCACATTTGTTTTACAAAGCAAGTAAGTAAACGAATGAGTAAAAATAAGAAAAGGAATATTTTTCTTTTTTTTTGTTGCAATAGAAAAAAAAAGAAAGAGTTTAGTGTCACTAATACTATCGTTCTTTCATTTATTCATCAATGTGCATGCACACATATATAACTACTTATTTATCTTTTGAGTTATATTCATGTAGTACATTGTAGTTCAGTAAATAATCATCTGTTTCATTAATAGAAATTGATTAAAAAAAAGCCTATTTCTTTTTCTTAATCAGATGTATCGTGACTTACTTTTTTTTTTCTTTGAATATTTTTCTAATACATATGTCAACATCTTCTCTATAAATATGATGGACCTTAGATCAATCTGGTTCTCATTGCCTTATGATGATTATCGTATCGATAATAGAAGCAATATCTTCGCTTAACGGCAAACCATTGCCTTTAAATGTATTGATCATGGTAAGATATACACATAATCAATACTCGTCTATTTTCTTATTTTATTTTTTTTATCATATGATGAAAATAGAAGAAAACAAAATGTTGAGTTTTTCAAGATAAGACCGCATTGATCCTGAAAATAATCAAACAAGAATATATGTCGAGGTGTTGTTTTGTAATTTTTGCTCATCTTTTTTTTTCTTATCGATGTACTCATTTCATCATATAGGTTTCCTTATACTTGTATACATAGATATATATAAACATCATCGTCGTTTCTGAAGATAACAATCCCAGTTGTTAATGCGATCGATGTCGCATTGACAAGAGGATTTTCTTGTTTGTTTATTTATTTATTTGCATGAGCGATTGTTGAGTTTTTCTTTTTTTTCTTTTGAGTGCGATATTCTGTGTAGATATAGACTCCGTCTTCAGAAATATAAGGGATCGACATAAAACTAGCAGATAGATAAATATACAAGGCAGATACGGTGACATTTATGTATATAGATATAAATAGATAGAAGAATACAAGCTGTACATTTAAATTGAAAGATAATTGAGCTATATGACTCTCAGTAGATTTTGTTTTTACGATTATCTTGTTTTTCTCATATGTCAATGTGAAAATAGACCCTTGTACATATACAAATATATGTTGATTGAATATATATGACGCAAAAAAAGAGAGACATATATTTCATCATTCATATTTCAATATTTTTTTCTTTATCATTAAATCTTATATCAAATTAGGAAAATAAACAAGTGTCTTCATAGGATCATAATGTTGACTGTCAATATCATGTTGTCTCGAGTGTTTCATATTAGTCACATATAGATACCGTTCCGTTTTTTTCTTCTATAACTGTAGGAATCTATCAATCATAGTTTTCCTGTAAGAATACATGGGTATGTCGGAAAAGATCATTATCCATCGTTTAACGATAGTAATGGAGTAGCCTACAGTGATCACAGTCGGTTGATAATTTATCCATCTATTATGATTTTGTGTTTGCTTGCTTTGTTTCTCTGTCTGTGTTTTCTTTCGATATCTCGATCACATTTTCTTATTGCGTGTACAACATCAATTCGAATGGATTAGTTGTGTTGTTCGACAATGACTAGAAGCATTAGTCCCATTTGTAGGAATACTAATAGTTATCAGACAAAAGAAAACAACTAAATCTATAGAAAAATAGATTTCAATTTGTATAATATATCAATCGTAAATAATCAAAGCAAATCAGTCAGCCAAGATAGAGTCAAAAAGTTATGATGTTGCTGATCATTTCCCTCCTCTTCCTTCCTCAACCGGTACCGCTAAATGACAAAATCGACCTTCAGCAATAGTGACTTCATTTATTTTCTCTAAGCATATACAAATAGACATATTATAAAAAGAAAGAAATTGCAATTTTAATGTTTTTCTAGGATGACAAAAAAAAAAGAGAAAAAAAGAGAAAAAGCTAAGTAAGATACAACTAACCATTTTTCTTTTTTTTTGTGTTAACAAGATTTTTTGACTGTATCAAGGTTCTTCTTTCCTTCTTTTTTTTTCTTATATAGGTTTTCTTTTTCTTTTTTCTCTTTTGTTTTATATATTTTTGATCAAATCAGTAACAATGCTGATTAGACTGCTTCTCAGAATCTTATATACAATGAAAAAGCTTGACATTGGCATTCCCACACAAGAAGAGAAGCATCAACAGCAGTCAAACGGAACGGTAATAGTAATTGGAGATTAGACGATTTCTTTTCGTCAACATCATCATTTTTCTCTCATTCTCTTTCTGGTTTTCTTTCTCTCTCTCTCTCTCTCTCTCTCATCGTTATATTCTACACTTCTTCTTTTCATACGTCGAAATAACGGCGTTTGCTCCTCACGCATGATCGTCTCAAAATGAGACATGCTACATCATGGCGAAAGAATCAATCAGAAGATGACGCTTTCGGCAGACCGCTTGAAACTTCGACTACAACTACTAACACCGTTCTGGCATTTCTATATTCATCAAGAAAAACGACACAAACTATTCATATTAAATTTGAAACCAACCTTCATCATCAACGTGCAATCGAGCACATTATCTTCATCTTCATCATCATCATCATTTGCCAGAAGCATACTAATCATCTTCAACATCACGTCTCTTTCTTATCATTTATATACATATTTTTCTTTATTTGCTGCTCATTGTTCGTCATGCAACAACTATCGAATGATACTGGCTCGTGGAATATAATTGATTCTCCACTTCCAGCACCTTTATTTTATAATTCAAATGCATATGATAATTTATCAAATGTTGGTGTAAAATTAAATGATATTAATAATCCAATTATACCAATACCAAGTGATTCATTATCATCATTAGCACCACAAACAGGAGCTAGTCAGCCAAATGCAGCTAATTATTGGGCATTTGCACTTATAGTTTTTCCTTTATTTACAATATTTGGCAACGTACTTGTTGTTGTGAGCGTCTATCGTGAAAAATCTTTACATACAATAACAAATTATTTTGTTGTATCACTTGCCATATCCGATATAACTGTTGCTGCTGTTGTCATGCCATTTGCTATTTATTTAGAAGTAAGTAATAAAATAATTTAAAAAAAAAAAAGATAAATGATAATTAACTTTGCTCAATTAATTTACATTTGTTTATTATTAAAACGGAAATGAACATTATAAAGCATATAGGATTAATTACAAATAACTATTCTTAATTTAAATTGATATATATTATCTATGTAACGAACAAATTAAAGATAATTTCTCTTGAAATTTAAAGATTTTCATATTGTTAGCGGAAATATCTTCATAAATTTCTACGTGTAATTATCAAGTTTCTTTTTTTGACATATTTTTTTGTCAAGTATATAATTGTCTAAAAGAGAAAATTGTTAACAATATCCTGTAGAAAAGAGAAGTGTCTATTGTCATTGAACTTAAGTCTTTCTCTATTAACTTCCGAGAGGTAAATATATCTTTCACTTGAGTAATTTTCTTTTCTTCATAAATATTCATACCAAAAGAATATGTCTAGTTTGCAGTTATAATTATTTCATCGTATAACAAAAGATAAAAAAAGAACTGATTTTCAGCTAAATTTCACACCTGAAGCAATATTCACACGTATGAAATTTAACATAAAAGATTAAATTAGAAGAATTTTTTTTTAATTTTAGTTTAATCGAGTATGGGAATTATCTGAACGCTTATGTGATTTTTGGGTCGCTTCTGATTGTATGGCTTGCACAGCATCAATATTAAATTTAGTATGAAAAAATAAATATTTTTTTATTCGAAATAACTTCATTAATTTTCTTTTTCTTTAGGTTGCAATTGCAGTTGATCGGTAAAATAGTATTTTTTTTCTAAATTTTAAATAAACTTTTTTGTCCTGAATACTAGTTATATTGCCGTAACGAAACCACTTAAATATGCTCGACATAAAAATCCAAAACGCATTGCCATCATGATTGTTATCGTATGGCTTGTTTCATTTGTTATTGCTTTACCAATTGTCAGGTAATAAACAAAAATAAGATTATAGAAAAAAAGACAAAAACAAAAAGTTCTTAATCAAATTTTTCCTTTTTTTTTTGTTTTTAGTGGTGTAAATAAATCAGATGTTGCTGCGTATCCACGTGTTCCCGAACAATGTGCATTTTTCAATAATAAATTTCTTATTTTTTCATCACTTGGTTCATTTTTCATTCCATGTATTATTATATTTGCTATTTACTATCGAATATTTATGGTTATTATGGCACGTGCCCGAAAAAATCGTAAACAATGGAGACCTAGAGCAGCTATTGCATCAGCTGCTGCACAACATCGTTCAAATGCCAATCATTTAGTAACATCATTATTACAAGAACGACATAATTTAAATCATCCACCAATTATGAATGATACTCTTGTAAATATAACATCCACAACATCAAATACACCTCAAATAATAGCAAATTCATCCGTACCTTTAACAAAAACTATTGAATGTAATACTTTAATGTTAAAATTATCTACGCCTGCCTTAGCACCTGCAATACGTCCATCAGTAAATGTTACATCATCATCGGGTGATCCAGTAGATGATGATGAACGTGATGACATTGCATTATTTGTTCATCATGAACAAGAACAACAAAAAAAAATTAATCATAATAATAATAATAATAATAATAATAATCATCATCATCATGATGAACATGAAAATCAAATTGAAATATTACCATCAATAACCATAAAACCAAATATTAAATCTGATAATCCTACACCATTTAAAACAACAACACACAATTCACAAACTAAAAATCATCATGATTCTCATCATCCAAATAAACATTTTAAAACACGTTTAAAAGACAAATCAGATTTTCATAGTTCATCAGTAACAACTAATATTACACAAACAAGTAATACTAAAATTGCTAAACGAAAAGCATATTCTCGCATGAAGAAAGAACGTAAAGCAACACAAACACTTATAATCGTGCTAAGTATGTCTTTAAAAAAAACAACAAATTTCAAATTTTGGTTACTTTCTATTGAGGGAAAAGATGACTTTGATATTTCTCATATTAATAAAAATGAAAGAAAAGAAATCATATTGATTCATTTAAAGTTAATTTATTTTCTTTTGTTTAGTTTGCTTTCTAGTATGTTGGTTACCATTCTTTGTGCTCAACAATTTAGTCAATGCTATTGTTAAATTATCTAATAAATCGCAGACATTATTAATTCATGATTTTACATTATCATTATGTGTATGGTTAGGATATGTAAATTCATTTTTAAATCCAATTATTTATACAATATTTAATCTTGAATTTCGTAAAGCATTTGCCAAGATCCTTTTTTCATCTTGTAGATTATCCAATCAGTTATCTTCATAATTCAAAAACCGGTTCTCTTTTTTTTTGTTTTATTCTTTTATCTTATTTGTTTATATGTTTGTTTCGAATCTACTGCACCACCGCATTTGTGATGTGTGTACGCGTTTTGTAGCTGGTAAATCCTATTTAATCAAATTTTTTTCTTTTTTTATTTTTCAAAAAGAATAATATTAAACGAAAAAAACAACAACTAAGGTTATATGTAATTATTTCAAATCAAATGCTAGATAAACACGCAAAATTAACGTCAACGAGTCCATACTATTTTCTTTTTTTGATTTGATTTGCCCTAAGTATAAAAGAAACACATATTGCTTTCTGTATTCTTTGTTCTTTTTTTTTTTATATGTCGATAGAATTCCATCAATTCTCAAGAGAAATCTTATTGCTTTCTTCGTAATAAAAACATCAGTGGAGAGCATGAATAGATTACTTGAGATTCTGTCGTGTGATTAGTACACTAGAATAACAATTGACTATGGGATTAAAGAAGACAGAAAAAGCCAAAAAATTATTTTAAGTAATTTTTTTTATTAAAAAACATTCAACAAGATATTAAGAAGAAACAAAAAGAAAAAATAATATCTGAAGAGTCAATGTTCGTCATACGACTGCTCTCCTAAATTGGTTAATATTACATTGACGGAAGATGTTCAGATAATAATGAAGTACACGGCGATGAAGGAGATGATAATGATAAGTTCATTGTCGAACATGAACTAAACAAAAAAATTCATTCATGAATGTATAATACATAATGGGAATTCTTTTTAACTTACGATTGATGCCATTGTGTCGAGCTTAAATAAGCTGCATTATTATTCGTATTCCACATGGGACTTGTGTTAGAGCTAAACGAATTCATCATAAATCTTAATTTTTTTTTGTTTTTCATATTTGAATAAAATCTTACTCATAACAAGATGGAACATGAGGACTAACTGAATACGATGATGCTGCTATTCGATTATCAACTATAGGAGATGGCCAAAAATATGATGGATAATAAGATGTCGATGGATCATAAGATGATGATGGTACAGCTGATGGTATTGAACTTGAATGCTTAAAATAGAATGAATTTTATAAAATATGCTTGATGCATTTTTTAAAAAATGACAAACATACTGTTATTTTTTTAGTTACATCATTTGATGATGATGTAGATTTAGGTTTTTGTTGTCTCTTAAAACGTGAACGACGATTTTGAAACCAGATCTAATGATAAATGACAATAATATTTTTAGGGTTGATAAAGAAAAAATAAAATTCTTACGGAAATTTTTTCATGTCGAACACCAAGAATTTCAGCAAGTTGATCAACAGTCGTTACTTCGGGATAATGATTGTCTTCAAAAGCTAGTTCTAATACTTGTAACTAATTCAATACACAAAAAAAAAGATTATGATTATATACTTTATCATCATAAGAATTCTTACTTGTTGATGTGTATATTGAATTCTTGTACGTTTCACATATGGTAAACGTGGTTTACTTTCATCGAATGATTTTTCTGACATTCTTGAATCACTCTCTGAAAATTTAAAAGAATATAAAATGGTATATATATATTTATTTATTCGTAGGAATACCTTTGTTATCTAATTCTTGTCGCATTGATAATGGTTGGGGTGAAAGAATACGTACAGGTGTTGGTGGTGTAGGTGTTCGAGATAGATAACCAGAATCAGCAAATCGACTAGTACTATTATTATTATTATTATTACACATATCAAATGATGGATGTGGTGATGTATTGACTAATTAATAACAACAACAAAAAATTTATTTGCAACAAAAAACTTTTCATTTTGTTTTACAACAAACCTGAAATATTGGTATTGAATGAAACACTAACATTAGGTTGATATCCATGAGGATCATAATACCAATATGGATTAACCGATGGTGGACCTGAATAACCAGACATATCTTGTCGTTGGACTGTATGTCTATAAAAGAAAAGATAGTTAACTTTTAGGAAATGAACGTGAAAATCGAACTAATTGATCTTATATATCTGTTTGAGAATTTTTTTTTTTCGTTTCTCTTATTTGAATTCAGCCAACAAAAAAATTTCTTCTTTTCATTTAAAACATTAACCAATAATTGTTCATTTCTTTTCTTTTTTTCGTCAATTTCCTTGCTGCCTATTTTGAACATCATCAACAGCTTGAAAAGAAAAAAGAAAGATACTATATCATTGAACGATGACGAAATTATGTGCTGGTGCACAAAAACTGGAACAAACCGAACATTCGAACAAATATATTAGATCATTTAAGAAAATGTGTTAGAAACATTTTTTAGATCAAGAATTTCTTATTCAAATACTAGAGTAACCATCGTTCGGGAAAAATCTATAATTGAATTTATTCATTCGAATCGATACATAATTGATCATCCTATTATCATTTCTTCTAATGATAATTCAATTTAAATTAGAATACGGCATAAAATTCAACTTTCAAGATCATGTCAATGTCAAAGAAAGTTTTTGTACTGCATCAATAAGTACTTTTGTATAATGATTTGGAGTCTTATTAAATTTGAAAACAGATAAAATGCATCAAAAATGGAATAATACCAAATACTTGTAATTTAATAGAATTTTCTTTGTTGATCAATCTGACGAAGGAAAATCTCTACAAGTGTCAAATCGCTTGTCGATCGAAACGATGTTCATTTGATGAGTAATAGAAAAGTTTAGAATGGTTTGATTTTTTAGACGTTTCATTCTTGAGATATCAAAATTTTTTCAACAAAGAATCTGTGGTCATGTGAAAATTAGAGTTCTGATTTTTTACATCATCATAGCTCTTTGTTGAAAAAAGTTCGATAACTTAACAATGAAGGTCAAAGAAACGAAACCGATCTAGATTTTTCTATTACTCACTAATACTTATCAAAAAAACATGTTCTGGGTCGAAGGGCGATTTGACATCTGTGAAAGTTCTCTCTTGAGAACTATGAATTAATTACTTTTTCCGAAAGTCACGTAGAAATATTAATAAATTGTTTGTTTTTCTTTTTCGGTAAACTTAGCACTACAAAAAAAAAAATATACTTGAAAACAAATTGACACTTTTTTTTTCATATTATCAAATATGTCACATCTAACTCTATTACACTTCATTAGTCAAAGATGAACAATCATGCTAGTTGTTCGTTAATTGAAAATTTATCTGTCTTACATTGACATAATAGCTTTTTCGCCAACAAGCTGTGTATATATATATATATATATATATTAAAATTATCCTTTATTGACGATTTTTCATTAAGTTCAAATAGGAATACAATCTGGTGTATATGTATATATTTTGTCTTCATTTGTTCCTCCTCTTCTTTCTAATGAGTGTGAATCGTCGTTTGATGCTATGTATACGTTGTCAATGATTGAAATACTCATTGTATATATCGATGACTTTCTCAGCTTTATATATATGTTTATGTGAAAGAAGCATAGATCATGATCATGATATAACTTTGTTGAAAGCAGCTATATTTTTGAAAAGAAAAATAATGCATCACACTAATAATATTTCATGTTTTCAACATATGTAAACAAAAATTAATATTCAAAAGATATATGTCTTTATTAAAATATGCATGCATAGAAAACATTAGTAAAAATTGTAGTTTGATGTATCATAAATCAACCTATTGTAATAGACTGAATATGCTATTACACTCTTTATGATTATTAATAAAGAAAAAAGGGACTATTTAATTGAAAATATTGAAAAATTTTAAAAGATATATATTTATGAGTCACTTGTGTAAAGTTTAGTTCATATTATGATAAATTTGCTACTTTGTAAAAGTTGTAAGAGATTATATTCAGAATAAAATAGAAATAAATGATTGTTGATCATGTACTGTATGAATGTGAAAAATGTTGTCTTTGATAGAGCAGATACAAATATAGAAAAAAGAAACTTTTCATTCATTATAGCTGATTATGAGTAAAAATAAATATATTTTTTTGAAGTTGTTGAGTATTATTAACTTATAATAGAAATTATTCCATTGTAACAATAATTTCACAGAGTACTTTTTAAATTATTTTAGCAAAATGTCTTCATTTAATCATGTTGAGTACAATAGAGTATCAAGTTTCTGAAATAAGTAATTTGTAATGATCTCAAGTCCCGGGCAATATGCTTTTTTGCAACAGTTACATTATTGATGCGAGATAGTTGCTTTGAATTGCATAAATCAATATTATTTCGTCTGTCCACTCTGTATGAATAGTTGTGTTTTAAGTAATAATTTATAGTGTACCTTAAAGGAAAGTTTATTATTTGTATTAACAGAAATCAAAGAAAATATGTTTTTTTTTGCTATGATTTCTACACGTCACAAATATTACTTTTGATATGAAGCACTTAGATTGTGGTTCATGATGTGTTTCAAGAGGAATGCATCAAAAGTTCTAAATTGAAAATTAAGAATGCATTTGTTGAAGTTCAAGAAAAAATTTTCAACATAGATCTAAAACTTCCCATTTTTTCCTAGGATATGTAATTAGTTTGTAAATAACTACTCGAAAACGCAAACGATGACAGTGCAAAAAAAAGAAGAACTTATACTCAAGTTATCAATAGATTATATCTATTTTAAATAAGTTGATTGCTCAAGCCTATGTCGACTTTTTATAGTCGATATGCCTTAAGTATATCTACTATTGATAATTAGTTCATTATTGACATAAATTTTGTTGAATTTCTAAGGATTGGATTTTTTATCAGCTAAGAACAATAATGTTTATTGGTCGTATCACTTGTGTATTAGATAATGTTCGTTATTGTTTTATTAGAGAAAAGATTTATTTTAAAATTTGTTAATATAGAAGAGTGATCGTATTTTTCGACTTTATATAAAATATGTTTTTACAATTCATTCTATTTGAAAAATACATTATCTAGGTTTAAAATAATTTCTAATAAAAATCCACAACTTTATGGTTAAAAAATTCTTTTGTTAATTGTCATATTTTGAGGATCTAAATTATCATTTTTGAAAGAGAAATTTTTTGTTTCTTGCAAATTCCGATTATAAGAAAGTTTCTTTCATTAGAATACAAACAAACGACAGCTATTTAAAAAAATAACCCTAATGCCACAATAATTCAGATGAAGAATCTCTCGTTGGTGTACCTATACTTATTTTCTTTTGAATACGACTTTATTTTCAGGAATACAATGAACTCAAATAGATAAATTCATCAATCATGCAAATATCAGTACATCCTTAACATCGAAAAATTTGTTGCTTGATAAATGAAACATATTGTACTTAAATGATAAATGAAAACTCAATGACTTTAACGTAAGCCAGCTTCACACGGATTTTCACAACCAGATTATCGATCCCTTTTTGTCATCAACTTAATGTGAAGCGTAGTACCGCATTTATGTTGACCTGTACGAGTTCTTTTTCTTACTATTGTACTTCCTCGATGTAAATATCAACAGTTCATATTTTGTATCATAATGGTCTTAAAAATTGAAAATCAGAAAATATTTATTCGAATGCAAGAAGGAACGAACGAAGTTTTATCGACACCAGCCATTCTCTTATCTGTAACAAGAAGTTTCGGATGTTTACAAAGAGATCGGCAAAAACGTAATTTTTTTTTGACTTTTGCTTTTCTCTGTCAAGCTTTGCGACGAACGTTAGAGAATAAAGCGATCGATGATATTCATCAGAAACATGTTTTGATGGAAAGTATGCAACGGTTACTTATCAACTGCTTTGTGACTTCGATCAACTGATTATTCTAGATGTTACTTCTTCGATTAGAGCGACAGAAAAGAAGTTTATTCCCATCAACTGTAAATTCGTTTTTTATGGGATACTGATTTCTCAATATTCCCTATTTACGGTTGTCGAGATGAACTCTAGTATCAACTGGTTACTTTAATCCGGTTGAATGAAAAAGTTTGTTTGATGTTATTTAGATTGGCAAAGCTTTATTTATGTTAGTTCGAGATGTTTTGCTTTCACGCATAAAATCTTGAGTAGAATTTTGTTATGTTCTTGCTTCAATCGAAAAAGAAATACTAATATCGATAAGGATTGATTTGTTGAAAAATAGAAAAATATAAATTTTCTATTTGTATACAACAGTCTAAGTTCAAAATTTATATTTATCCGTTGTTTTTTCGGTTGACAAAACACGAAAAATAGGTCTATTTTTGGTTTTTATTGATGATAGAGATAATACATATTCGATTTATCATACTCATAGACTTTGACCCTTTTTCTTTTATTTCTTATTTATGCCCATATCACAGCATAATAAACAAGAAGCATTTTAGTATGTAACCTATTGATGTAAAACGAAGCGAAAAATGTGAATGAATGTCGAATGCATTTAGTGAAACGACATCTGGATTTGAAGCAAACATGAGAAAAAGAAATTTCTATAAAAACATATTAAATCAGACTATATAATGATTTATCTATTTTATTTTTAGAAAAAATAAGTTTCATACAAACAATAGCACTACACTATAGCGACATTTTAATAACAACAGCAGTTCGTACAATAGATTTTTGCTTGACAACAATACAAATGCAAGATGTCGCTAAAACTAACTTTGTTATTTTAGCTGATCAAAAGAATTTAATATCATAAATAATCTATATCAGTGATATATCTCATATATTGTTAATAGTAGTTTTTCAAAATGAGTTTCATTCTAAGTGCAGTAGTAGATTTTCAATTCGACTCCTATTTGATGATTCATACATATAAGATCACGTATTATGTTTAGTTGATCAAGGAAAAGAGAAGCAGAACAAGAGAACTGCAATATATGGTAAGACAAATACACGTGACCATAAAAAGAAAAATAACGATGTACTCGTTCACTTTTTTCATAGTAGAGTGCATATTGACAGAAGAGATTCAAAACAAAATATTTATCATTAGATAAAAATTTACAATGTCGGCAACAGTTGAACAAACAAATTCAAAAACTGGAACGGAGGGTGCTGAACAAAGGTAGATGAAATTTTTTTTTCTTTTGTATTTAATCGATATTTTTCTTTATTTCAGTACACCTGAATGTCCGATTCCACCATTGGTTTCTGTTACACACGATGCACGAGAAATATGGGAATCTGTAAATACATACAACTATAATTTTCTTTTCTTTGATTGAATATCTTGTTTTGTTTTTTTGATTATTTTAGTATAGAAATGTTATTGAAGCTAAGGCACAGAAATGTAAGTGTAAACATAAATAGTCAAAATATTTATTGGTTTTTATTTTTTATTTTTGAGATTATCCAATGCCAGCTACATTTCAAATGGTTCCTTTAAGAATGTCTATTATGGATATTGAAGGAGTTAAAACATATTTTTTCAAAGTAATTCGAAAATATTTCTTTACTACAATTATTTATTGAATTTTTAGGCTCGTATTCCAAATAATAAATTTGTTAATGTACGTATTAGATTATCTGGTAAAGCTGAATCTCGAGATAACCAAGTGCTTGTTGAATCACGCGCTACTGGTAATGTCGATGAAAACATTACTAAAATCTTTTAGGAAACCAACAGTGTATAAGAATAAACACAAAAAAGACGTAGTTAGGATGAACTGTTGTCTTTTTTTTTTTATAATTTTTGTCTTTGTCTGATTTATACAGTATCAAATGTTCCTTTTATTCATTTTGATTGTTTGTTACGTGTTCGTAGATTAAAAGAAAACCTAGCATTGAAATAAAAATAAGGCATGCATTTTACTTAACTAGTATCTAGATGGTAACAATAAGTATTATTTTTATAGATTATATTAAATAATTTAGCAAGATAAAATATCAAAAATAAAAAACAAAGATATACAAATGTGAATCTAATCTTCAATTCTATACAAGAATGTTACTAATTGGTATTATGTAAAATAAGCTTTTGGAATGTCGCATATTTACACATGGGAATTATTAATCATATTCAAGCTACATGTTTAGTTTCCTCGTTCATTGATTTATTGTTTTTTTTTATTATATTTTCATTAGGATCAAATAGCAGATTTAATATCTTATTAAAATCAATGGATCTTTATTGAGAATCTTCGAAAAAGACTTTGAATTATAACACATGTCAAAATTAATTTTATATCAAATGAAAGCTGATTTACTGTAGATATCGAAAAAAACAATGCAGTCTTTAATGCGGAAAATTTTAATTGTAAATTCAGATATGTATACACTTAATTATGTCACGCAAAGACCAAAATTACTGGATTAATCTATGTCTGTCACAAACGAATCAAAACTGAAAAACGTGATTTTTTTCAGGTTGAAGCGATTGAATTTTTTTCTCTGCTTGTAACAACGCCGCATAGATTATGTTCCATCGGATTTACCTCGACCTCCTTCTAATCATGGCCATAAAAATGAGAAGCATATTGGCATTTAGCAGATTTGATTTAATACTTGTCTCTATATGTTATGAGTGCTTAATTTGACGTTCCATGACAAATTTCGATTCTAGACCTCCAGGTCTACAAAGAAACCTATTCAGCTGTACCTTTCTGATTTCAATAATTTTTTTTTGCCTATAGATATTTCATAATGTTCTAATAAAAACCTAAATGGATTTGGATTTTGACCAAGCTATCATATTTTTCTAGAGGCTCCAAGTTTTCAGAAAACTCGTATTTTTGAATTTTGACCTGAACCTTTGTGTATATAGAGAACTCAACTAGAGTAATTACCATAAAAAAAATTTAGAAGTTTTGAATAAAGTCTCTTCGAGATATGAGACTTTCAAGATAGAGACCCTTTTCCATGGATAGCGTATACAACATGCATTTTTTGAAAGTTGCATGTTTCGAAGAGACTTTATTCAAAAGTTCTGAATTTTTTTATGGAAGTTAGTCTAGTTGAGTTCTCTATATGCATAAAGTTTCAGGTCAAAATTCGAAAATACGAGTTTTATGAAAACTTGAGGCCTCTAGAAAATATGATAGTTTAGTCAAAATCCAAATCCTTTTAGGGTTTTTATTAGAGCACTATGTAGCATCTACAGGTAAGAAATTATTGAAATCAGAAGGGAACATCTGAAAAGCTTTCCTTGTTAACCAAAGATAAGAAAGGATTTAAGTCAAAATGCCAAACAAAGCTAAGCTGTCGATTAGAAATCAATAAATCTATATCTTATCACGAGCTTTATTAAGAATAGGTAGCCATGACGATCACATGTCTGATGTAAGGGAAAGTGAAAAGCTGCTTTTAGTGAACATCGAAAGTATCGATACGATGATTACAAGTGTTTAAAGAAAAAAAAAAAACTTCACTTCCCCCATAAAATCATCCATATACTGAGCAAATTAAATATTTTTTTAAATTATTTTATTCAAGTATATTATCTTTGGCATCTTTAAAAAAACGTTCGCACTTAAACAATCAGTATTTATCAATTATTTATGAAACAAATTTTAACATAAACAAAGATACACGATAATGTTGTGCATCAAAGTTGTGTCAATATAATTAATTCTTGACTTGTTAAATTAGAATAATTTGAAAAATAAAAATTTTATGCAACAGAGTTTTTTGCATTATGTGTTCGAACTATGTTAAAACATTAGAACTTAGCAGAAAAAACAATGCAAAAGACTTTTTTACCATTGCGAAATTGTCAAGAAGCCAGTATAGTTAACATATTTAGTCTCGTTCAGAAAAAGCGACATTTTGCTATAAAAATCAACAGTAAATTTAAATTTTCATAGATGCATAATTGAAAAGAGAACTCTCCAGGCTATAAAATCTCTTTTCCTGATATAAAAAAATTCTCAAAAATGAATGTTGCTTAATAGTTTATTGGCAAGAAATGTTTTACAATCGTTTGATTTCTGCCTGTTCTTCCTCCTCAAAATGGCTATGGAAAAAAACCATGTGTGCAATAAACCGTGTGGTTGGAATATTGCTTTTTTCCAACCCAGAAAAAGTCTTTGATAAATTTAGAAGTCGGCTATGCAATTAAATAGAGTTCAACATTCTTTGCAAAGATTTTTGTATTGTATGTTAATTTCGAATATAGATTAAGAGTAGCAGAAAAACAGAATTAGAACTATTATCTAACAAGATCAGCCTAAAGTCCATACTCATGAATATAAGTAGTAGTTTGCGGAGATCACCAAGATTGGGGGAGGATCGACCCTTGTTACGAGGGATAGATACATCTAGAATGTGTTTATATCTATATACATCCGTGGGCAAAAGTCTTTCCCGCTCCTCTCTCCATCATTTTTTTTGTATATTGAGCTTGCTTGTTCTCAAGTCAGTGCTAATTACAAGGATGGCTTAAGTACTTGATTTCAGTATCATGTATCATTGATTACGATTTACTCCGATAAACATTATATGTCTTTCAGTATAATCAATCGCTACTACAAATGACTGAGTTATTTCTTGTTTCGATTTGTTTTGGATGTTTTACTGGTTTTGGTTTATCTTAATTTGTAGAATCGAGTATACTGTCTCTTAGGTCGAGCTTCAAGTCCCCGACGAAGAGAGTTTAATAAGTTGGAACCAACAAAAAAATTCAGAAAATATTGAAAAAAGAAATAACTTAGTCATGCAGCATTTTATCACTAGGTCATTTGTAGTGGTGGTTAATTATATCGAAAGATCTATAGTGTTTTTCGAAACAAATCATAATCAATGATACATGATACTAAAATCAAGTACTAAAGCCATCCGTATAATTAGAATTGACTTAAAAACAAACAAGCTCAACATACAACAAAACACTGATGGGGAGAGGAGGGAAGGGGGAGAAGGAAGACTTTTGCCCACGGGTATAAGTTAACATGCAGGCCATAGAATGGAGAATAATACAAAACAATTGATTTCTTCTATTTATTTTTTCTTACTTCATATGTGATTATCTGTAACAGTATATGAATCACTAACAATGGATCGAATGTGCCACAAGAATAATAATTATTTTGAAAAAAGTAAATTCTTCCTTTTGTTTAAGATTCGCATGTGTTTTGTTTTTGTAGTATTTTGCTCAGCAGAACCTTATAGTCGTATGTAAAATCAATAAATTTATGTTCATATATAAATTCCAGCTCAGTATGAACATTTTCGATTCGACATAAGAAACAAATTGTTCAACTACAAATCACTATAAATAGGCATATATATATACATTAGAGATCTCAATATAGGCTGAAGTGTTTTTGAATAAAAAAACCATGCGCTAGACTGTGGTGATTCGATATTGCGATGGATGCCCATTAATCGAACCTTAAATAAAATTTAAGAAGATGTTACGTATTTCCACCAACTTTTTTTAAAAATCTTATGTAACTTTTCCATTTGCTAAAACATTTCTGCAATGTACAGCAAATATATAAAGCAAAGCAAAGAAATAGATGAAAACTTTCTCAATAAGCTCCAATAACAGGTCTTGATGATAGTTTGAATCAATGGTCTATAATTGTATCAGAGTTAATCTTTTTTATACTTGATAAACATTTTAAATCTCTGCTTTTTTTTAATGTTTAGCAAAGAACAAGATCTATATGGTCCAGCACTTGATCAAGTTCAACAATAATCATTACAAGTTATTCAATCAATTATTCGTAACTGTTGTAACTCGTACAATCCACAATAAATTTAATAACAAATCGTAAGAATTTTCTTGAAATCTGGCTGATCTCATAATTGAATTTTTTATTAATAGATATTGATAATCAAACCAAATAATGCTTATGAATTACAATCTCAATCGATTTTCAATGATTGCATCACTGGAGGAAGTTATGGTCAACAATAACCAAACACTTCCTCTGTTCAAACCATTCAACCAATTTTCAGATATAATTTGTTGAATTACATAAAAAGAAAATATGTTTTTCTTCACAGAGATCAACAATTTGAAATTCTACGAAATAATTTAGCTTTTACGTCAAATTCATTTACAATCATTAGTACAAATACCTGACAATCCTTCATATGGTCGCTGGCAAATAAAATCTATGCAACCAAAAAGGATATGTCTTTTCTTTTTCAGTTTTAAAAAATTTAAACATTATTTATCGATTTTTTCATGATTTTATTGTTCTGTATTTTGTTTTTTGTAGTAAAGATATATTGAAAAAACAAAACAAAAGTCTAAACAAAAGCTAATTGAAAACATATCTACAAAAACAAAAAAGAAAAAGAAACGAGAATAACTAGATAATAGAAAATGTTTAAAAATGTTTAGATTTTGAAATATTAATCTCAAAAATGATTTTCAAGTTTTGTGTTTTGTAGAAAATCAATGCCTAAACGATGAAGTGTTTGTTGAAGATTTTCATCTTAAAGAAAAAATAAAAAGTATTTACATATAAATAATATTAATTCTTATTTAAATAATAATAATAATAATACCTGTGGTCATATAAAATGGCGTAACATTTTCTTCTACTAAAACATCTTCTTCTTGACCATTTTCATCAATATGAATAGGTGATAGTGTTGATGCTTGAAAAATTTCTTCTTCTTGTTCTTGTTCTATAGGTTTAATATTTTCTTCAATTTGTTCGTTATGTTCAATATTATTTAGTTCTTGTTGATGTTCATTTGTTGTTTGTATTTCAAAATCTGTACTTGTAGTAGCATTATTTGTAATTGTTGAAATAAAAGATCCTGGTGGATTCTAAAGAATTATAATTAAATGAAACAAAAAAAAAAAACTTTATTTTTTTTTTCACAAAAATTATTTTACAAGATCTTCAATGACACCAACAGCTCGAGCTTGTTGTATAACAAGATTAGGATCATATAATTGTGAACCATAACGTTTTAAATAAGCTTGTGGATCTTCACGAATAATATTTTGTTTTTGAAAATTTCGAACAATTTTTGCATGAACTGGTTCATAACTAAAAATAAGAATCAATATAATTTGTTTTTTAAGAAAATAGAAAACATACGTTATGATAACATTTTTCGGTGGTGGATGTTCTTTAGAAGCCTTTGGTGCACGTTGTACAATAACTTTACGTTTTTGATTAACGACTTCATAAGGTAACCAACGTTCAATAATAATATCACGTGGCTTAGGTGGTAATGGTGGTAAACGTTCAATAATAACAGCTCGTGGTGGAGCTTGTTCAGGTGGCAATTGTCTAGATATTGTGTATAGCAAAAAAAAACATATAGAAAGACTTAAAATTCTCTATTTACCGTGTTATCACTTTTGTTGCAAATGTTGATGGAAGTGGTGGTGGTTTTTCTCGAATAATAAGTGGTGGTGGCGTTTTTGGTGGAGTTGGACGTTCTGAAAGTAAAGATAAAATGATAAAAAAAAAACAAAAGTAAACAAATCAATTTACGTTTAATAACAAGTGGTGGAAGTGGCGAAGGTTGTGGAGCACGTACCTAAAAACAAATAAGATTGATTAATTGAAATGAATCTTTCTTTCTTTTTTCAATGTACTTCTTTGATTATAAGTGGACCAGCATTAGGAATTGGTGGTGGTTGTAAAAATCGAACAATTATATTTTGTTTATAAGTTACAGAATGTGAACCTTTACGTTGAATTATTTGTGGATTTGGATCATAAAAAATTTTTCCAGGAGAATCTAAAAATTTTTTAATAGATAAAAGAAAAAAAAATAATTATTTACTTGAATTATCTTGATCAATATCATTATTATTATTATTATTATTTAATGGTAATGAATTTGTATCTTCTTTATCATTAATTAAATTCATTGTTGATATATTTTTTATTTCATTAGAAATTTGTTCAGATGTTAATGGAATTTCATTTGAATTACCAGTATCAATTGATAGTGGATCTAATTGTGGTGTTGTACGAATATTTAAACCAAGATTTGGTACATTTGTTGCTATTGATGGTAGTGGACTTGTGTGATATTCTTGTTGTTGTTGTTGATGACGATTTTCAAGTAACATATCATTATTAGTTGATGAAACATTTGATGTTCCATGTGTCGATTTATTATATGATATTTGATGTTTTGGATCTATTTTTGTCATATCATTATAATTTTCAAAAGGTGATAAAAAACTTTTTGGCATTGTATTATATAAACCTGTACTATAATAATCAAAATTACTTGATTTTGTCATTGATACCATAGATGGCATTGAATTTAAATCAATATTTTGATCAAAATCTGTTAATTCATCAATACCAAACATGTCTGATGTTGGATAAAAAAGTGATATTTGATCTTGATTAAAAAAATTATTTTCGGATGATAATAATTGAGATTCAAATGGTGTTATTGATTCTGTTGGTTTTGATATATAATTACCAGCCATACCTAATACACCACCAGTAGCAGCTTTATTAACTTCATCAAGAATACGTTGAATTATTGGATCTTCTAATAAAGCCATGAGTAAAAACAAAAACAACAATAAGATCAATTCGATTTCGATAAGATAAATGAAATGATGACGCGTCTATTAACCTTTACTATTTATATTATTTCTTACAACGTTTTTCACACGCAAAAAAAAAAGTATAGACATGAATATGAATGTGAGCATAACATTCGTTGGTCTAACAACTAATCATTGAACCGTGGTAGATATGTGTTTGATAGGAGATGACAAACTCTCCTTTTCGTGGGTCATTAATTGTTAATAGTTCACGCCTATTGAGCGTCAACATTGAATTTTTGATAACAAACGAAGGTAGCAAATGTGTCTCCTCTTTGAAATTAAACTAATGATAACTGATATTAACTAAATTTTACTGTTAACCATCAAATAAGTAGTCTTGCCAACTTCAATTTATCATTTATTTGTTTGACAATACTTCATATATCTTTACAATAGATTTCTTTATTAATTGAATGACAATTAAACATAATTATTTGAAAAAAAAAGAAGATGAAATAAATATAATACCATAGTCACACTTGTTCATTTATATATTTCTTTTCACTTTTTTGATTAGTCAGAAACCTTAACAGACATGATAATAACATACTTTCTATTCAATCGTCATAGACCATAAGTAATGTCTGTGTGCAGTGAAAATATATTTATCTTTCTTTTAATCATATTCAAAATGAATGCATAAGTACAATCTTTCATTAATCCTTTGTGACATATAACAAATAGATCATCATAATAGATATTCTATTCCAAATCAATAAAAAAAAAAAAACAACTTTTTCCTTTATATTTTGACAACGATTTATATGTCACTATTTGGGTAGTTCCCAATTCGGTTTCACCACATTATGTCTCATTAAATGATTTCTTAATTGTTCCCATTCCTTTTTTTTTTATTCGAAATTCGAAATTACACATTGTAATACACTTTTACTTAATTATCGAGATTTATAATTAGTAATTCAATGCGACAAAACCGTAAAAATGAAATTTATTAAGAAGAGCAGACAATTTAATTGTTTTCATTTAATATGCCTTTGGGCTATAAATGTTGACAACTTTTTTATTTATTTTTCATTAGCCAAGTTATTCTCATCATGAATCATTGCAATTGATAATATAAGAACTGATAATTTGAGTGGATAAACCTTATGGTACTTTCATTTCAAAATTAGTACAGATGAACTCTTTTTTTTTATTTATAATCTATTTTTAACGATTATTTTAATATTCAAACCAGCCTATTTCGTAACATATCATATTATACATAGTTACAAATGCATTTACACATTAAAATCATACCATAATTATGCATTTGATGTGACGAGACGACGTCCCCTGTCAATCTTACGTCTTAGAGAAAAAGAAAACAAAGATTCAATGATATTTATCATAATTCGAAATAAATGTTTGATAGCGATATCTAACATATCATGTATATAATATGATGAATTCATATGATGATGACTGCTTCGTTATGATAAATTAATCATACGTAAATTTTATTTAATAAAATACATAAAAACAATAAAAAAAATGTTTTTTTAATGAATAAAAAGAAACGAAGAATTTTTTTCTTTTTCAATTGGATCGATGATTATCTATTTGTAAACTATAGAATGAAATCACAAAAAGTTATCTATTTTTATTTATGCACTTTTGTCTATGAACTAAACGAATATTTCAAAAAATGTGTTAGTAAAGATTTTCATGTTTATTTTAATTTTTCATTAATACCTTGATCGATGGTAACGAACATTTTATGTTAGACTTGTCAAAGATAATAATGAAACATTTTTTTTTTATTGTCAAGTACGGGAATATTCATATATGAAAAGATAGAGACACGACAACAGGTAATTATAAATCAAATAGATAAGACATCATTCATCGCAATCGATGATGATACATTGCTTTGATTTATATCAACGTTTAAACATTTGAATGTTAAAATTAATATTTACTGTTTGATAAAATCTTAGTTTTTTTTAAAATCTGAATACTATATTTAAGAAACTATACACAAAAGATTTGATGATATCTCTCTTTACTTCACTGTATTTAATGATATGTTTGATTTTGAAATTTCAGAAACTCTAGTTTGTTATCGATCTCAAAGAATTTTAAAAAAGATACGAGATTAATAAAATATATCTGAATTTTAATTTTTAGATTTATGCATTTGTACAGAACAATTACATACTTTGACTGTGATTTGTTTCATCTTGTTTGTTTATTATTTTCGTCAAAGTTATCAGAATAATAACATTGCTTATAATATTCCTGATCCAGGTAAGTGTTTTTTTTTTCTTGAACTATTTTTATTATAAAATTTTGCTTTTTTTTTACTAGAATGTACCGATGTTTTTAATCTTTGTACTGATGTTGATAAAGAACAACTTGGTTGTCAAATTATTCGTGTAATACAAGAACAAATGGATGATGATAAAGATGGATTAATTCAATCATCTGAAAGTACTCGTATGAGTTTTTAGATTATTAATTATTTAATGTATTAGCTTTTTAAGTTATAGTTTATTAAAGAAGAACTTGAATCAATGACAGATGTTGTATGACATAAACGATTTCAAAATGTTAATATACATATTACATACGATGATTTATAGACACAATTGAAACATAACTCAGATTTTTTTTCTAATTCAAATAAAATAATTATCAAGAAAAATGTATTTATCTATAGTTTATAATTGAACAATAGTTAGTGTAATTGATTGGCTTATTTGATTTTGTTAATTTACCACAATATGTTGAAAATTTTCGTCGTAATCAATTTGATGGTTGAATAATACCAAGGTAAACAAAAAGAACTCAAATTTGTTTTCTTATATAAATTTATTCATATATCTTAATTATTTTAGATTAGCAGCTAATGAAAAAGAATACATTTCATCAATAATGCATATTCGACGTGTACGAGAAAAACAACGAGTTATTATTAAAGCAATCGATATCGTTGAATTCGGGCCACCATCACGTTGCTATTTCAATTTTATTAGGAAATTTTCTAATCGAAATAGAATAATCGCTCCAAAGATATGAAATATTTTTTTCTTCGGTGACTAGTGCATCCGACACATTTCTTACACGAATCGCCTAAGAAATGTGTAGGGTACAGCTCACCTCGACAACGCCAACAGCGAGCAAAGTACGGTTTTTAGCAATCGAAAAAGGAGAATACTGGATGTTTTTTTGTCTTATACTATATAAGACAAAATCATTTTAAAATCCATCGTTTTCGTAAAACATTTAAAAAAATGGATAAAAACAGTATTCCATTTTGATGTAATTTTGATTTTGACATGTGCTTTAGATAGAAGGAATCCAGATCTTGTGATTCAGGAAATGACTCAGGTGACCATTTTCTCATATCTTAATGTTGAGCAAACAAAATCGCGTATCCATTTGATCAAATTATATAAAATTTTTTTTGATTTCATATAATTTTCTGACTTTTTATCAATATTTTCTTGAAACTTAATGCCGTTTTCACACATTTTAAAAAATGTTTTGCGAGAACGATGGGTTTTAAGATAATTTTGTCTTATACACTATCAGACAAAAGAACGCTTCGTGTTCTCCTTTTTCGATTGCTGAAAATCGCAGGTCGCTAGCTACTGGCATTATTGAGCTATTGAGCTTACATACGTCTCCCTTTAATTCTGGCACTCACATTAGTTTTAGACTATATTTTATGTCAACAGCTTTTTCCTAGATTTTTTCACATAAATCAATACTCAAATCCTATCCCAATCGACTTATACCAATACATAGAAATCATTTTTTACTAGACAATCAAAAATAATTTTCCTATTTGTTTTGCAAGACATGGGTATCAATCAAATTTTAAAGTTTTCTTCAAGAACGTAGGACTCGAAATGTTTATCATATATCTTTCTTTACGCATTGAAATACTTTACAATCAGAGTTTTCATCTTATCTTAGAATCAACATAGACAATTTTCTGAAATTCATCACAACGAAAGACATGTTGTTGAAATCACCAATGATGCTAAAGTGATTGACGAAATCTCAATCCATGTTTTTTCACTCAGAAACATTGTAGAGAATTCAGTCTTTTTCATAATGAAAGAGCAAAATCTGAGCTTCAAAAAACAGTTTTGGGATTAACTTTAAATGTAAAAATAAGTTTAATACGAAATGTCAATAAAAAGTTCTTGTAACTCCTGTTCTTTTCAAACGTATTTCTCACATGTAGCCTATCTGTTTTCCTATAACAGATTACACTTAAATTATATTATTATAGAAACTAATTAGTTAATAGTTTCATCTATGAACAAGACAATACCACACCACAAACACATCAGGAATTATTTCCATGATGTGAAGAGAACTTCATACATTTTATATGGAATTACAGATGACCATCCAACAGTAACCAATTTCAATGTTCTGCATTATTATGTGTGGGATGCTGTCGCCAATAATATGCAATGGAATAAAGTTAAGAACACTGATTCATTAATTGATCAAGTAAGAAAAGGAATTCTTCATGTACCAAAAGAAACGATCTTGTTCGCAGCGTCGAATATTGATCACATAGAATTTTGTCTAGTTTGAAAACTAAAGGTGCATATATAAAATAAGCTTTGTATTGAAGATTACAGGACTCTTCGCATTGCATCTTTTGGTATATTTTATTTTTTTAAGAAAACTTAGATGCAAAGCATGGTCATTCATTATAGCTCGTCCGTTATAAGAAAAACAGTATTGTACAAGAGCTCTTTTGACAATGTTTCATATCAGTCTTTTTTTCTCACTCAAAGTTAATCTCAGAAAATTTTTTTCTTAAGTTTTTGAAGTACAGACTGTGTTCTCCCAATAGAAAAAGGAATGAACTCTCTACGATGTTCCTAATTACTTTTGCATAGCAAGTTATTTACATCACGATGCGCTCAATATTTTGTTTTGTAATGAACTTTTTTTTCAATATAGAAACTCATAATGTGATGAAAGATATAATTCTTATATCGACATTATTTGTTTCAGTTGGTGTCTGCATCCATCCATTTATTCGTCAACGTCAAACACAAGAAAATATGAATATTATGTTACAAGAACTTGAAATATTACAAAAAGCTAAAGGCAATTTATTAGCTGTAACTGAAAAATAATAAATATTTTTTTTTTTGATTATTTTTAATTAAATTAATTTCATTGAATTTAATTTTAAGAATGCGAATCAAATAAAATAAAATTCAAAAAATTAATCAAAATTTACTATATATATGGTTTATTGAAATACAACGAATTAAAATATAAAGAAAATAATTCATTAAATATAACTTAATTTTTCTTTTTGGTTTCATTTAAGGAACAGGTAGATGGATTTCGAAAACATCGTGATTCAATTATTGATCATGAGAAACAAATAAGTTTTGATTTAGAAGAAATTGAACAAGTAAAATAATATAAACACGTGAGTTTTATAAAAAACACAATCTAAAAGGAATGCTGAACTACACGAGTAGAAATTTGAATCTTTTCCAAACGTAATAGATATACTTAGCAACGTTTCTCCTTCATCACAAACCGTGATAGACACATTAGCAACTCTTTCCTCTCTCTCTGGGTCATAAACCATGACAAATGTTTTTAATGTACAATTACAGACTGTGACAGATGTGGTTAATGTATGATCACAGACCACATATGAATGACATCTTGTTATAATGTGTGAATCATTTGTTTATTGCATTTCTGGAGGATTAAGTCAAATGATGGTAAAGAAATGTGTTCGAAAATAGATTGAATAAAACAATCTTCTTGTGATTATCAACAGCAACTATATTTTGTGTCATATTTTAATCCCATAGAGATTGCGTTAATAACTTTTTTTTAGATAAGATAAAATTCCTTTTTTTAGTTACAAATTGCATTACATCAAGCAGAAGAACATGTTCAACAATAATCATATGGACCACCAAATAAATTAATTGACTTACTTAAACATACTTATGATATTGAAGAAATAGTTTTTGAAGTAGGACGAAAATTAGCTGAAACTGCTTTAATAACAGCTAAAGAACAAGTAGATAATTGAATTTTTGTTTCTGTGTAATATTTATTAATAAAACATTAGATGGATAAAATATCTAAAATGTAGAAAGGTTTTTCTGATGCTGTAAGAATGGGACATACAAATTGTATAGATAATGCTGATGAATTAGTACATGCAACAAAGTAAAATATTTGATTATTTTCTTTTTTTTTTATTATTCTTTTTTTCTTTGGTTTTCATTTTTCTAGAGAACGATTAATCGAAATTCATGATGAATATGAAGAACGTGAACAACGTTGGAATCGAATTGTAATATTACTTAATCGTGATGATTTAAATGATTTAGGATTATCAACATCTGTTATATGTCGTACCAAAGATTCGCCTAGTGTTCATGCCTAAATATTTGTATCATTCTCCATATTTTTATTCTTGTAATCATTTAATATAAAAAAAAAAGAATGTTTCTTTCTATTTTTCTCCTTCAATTGATAAGTATATATATATTTAGACATGCATGTATGAAAATTATTTTTTTGTCTACCGTTCATTAATTATAGTATTGTTCTCATATAAACGTAATTATAATATAATATAAGCACTCAATGACATTCTTTACTTTTATAAAACTAATTGTAATTAAGAGATTATACAAAATATTACTTCGTGAAGAGTATAGCATATTTGAATAATCACCAATGTCAAAAGATACATTGCAAGAAGGACAAACAATCAAAATAGAAACAATATTCATAAGTTAACATAGATTTGCAAAGTTTCATGATGAAAACCTATATTTTCATCTAGAATAACTCCTCATCTTCACTCTTCTTTTTAAAGTATGTTTAATCAATACTGACATTTAGTATTAAAATTTTTTCCTATGCTAACTGCTCAAGTGAATTTCATGACTTAGAAATCAATATACATTGTAGAAGCCACGAAAGCAGCGAGTGTGTACATTCTCCCAAAATTGAAAATTATTCATTATTATTTCATTAAGTTACCAAGATTTTTTGGAGTGTTTACTACGTCTATGAGATATTATCGTATAAACTACTCCAATTTTGAGCCCGTCGCACGGCCTCGATATGTATAGCTTTTGCAAATAATGAAAACGAAAAATAATTTATACAAAATGCGACACTCATTAGTGATGCTCTGATATCAAGAGTCGATCATATTCTTTAGATTGTTTTCAAACGAACATAACAATTTTTATCAAAAATATCGTCATTTATTCATCTTAATTTTGCTCATACGTTCTAATTAAAATAGACACGATATTTCAAACGTGAATTAAGCATAAAGAGAAAAAAAAGCAGTATTCAATCGATTGTACATTTCGTTTATGTCACGTTTTTTTGTTTTTTTTATGTTTTATCCTTACTTCTAAAACCATATCAATGTACAACGTGAATAACGGCAATACACAAAATACTTGTAATAGTACACGCAAAAAATAATGTGAAATAAGGACAACATTAATCGTTGTCTCGTATGTTTCTTTTTTTTCCTAAATATACGGAACAGAACAAAATAGTAAAGTCATCGAAAAAAAATGTTACGCTTGAACGGCTCGATCTTTTTTCGATACGTATGCTCATGTGTATATGTGCGGGTTTTTTTTCTTCGTTGTCTTTTCAATCAAATATAGCCCTTTAATATACGAAAAAAAAGCAGAAGGAAACCAATTTTAGAGGCATCTATCAATCATTTAGACTTAAACTGTGAACGATCATTAATCAATGATGGCTACATATAGCATACCTTTTGAAGAAATTGATGAAAAAGATACCACAAATACAGGTACATCACCAACAAAAAAACGAAAATCTACTAAACGAAGTCTTCGTTCTGCTAATTCATATTGTATCATGGAAAATGGTAATGGTTCATTATCAGATTCTATTCCATCAAAACCATCAAAATGTTTTGAAACTCAACCAATTAATGGATCAAATTTAGAAACGTCTACACATTCACAATCATCAGTTCAGTATGCAAATTTGAATAATTATCCATTGCATTTAACATTAACTCCAGTTGAAAGTTCTCAATCAACTGCAACAAATATAGATAATATACAAAAATTTCAACAAATTGAATTACGCAATATTACAGATGATGAGGATGATGGTAAACAACAAAAAAAAGTTGCACGACCAACAGATTATAAAATTCCTGATCATGATCCAATAGTATCATCATATACATCAACTAATGATAGTGACATTATTGAAATCCATGAATTTAGTGAAGCTGATGTTGATGCTTATCTTGATATTTATTTTGAAATGCTTCATAATCGTTTAATACATTTTCTCGGAGATAATGATCAATTACAACAATTTCGTATAAAAATGAAAAATCGATTAAATACTGATTTGAACTCACGTGAATATCAAAATGTTCTTCTTGGTAAAATCAATGGTGAAGTTGTAGCAGCAGTAACATTATCATTTCCTGGTGAAACGACAACTGTTACAAATGATAGTATACTTCCACGAGCAGATTCATGTTTAGCATCAATACGTCGTTGGGCAATGCGAAATGCAAATTATATTCCAACAGCTATGAATGAATGTTATATTGAAATGATTGGTGTTAAAAGTGCATATAGAAATCATGGTATAGGTGCAGCTCTACTTGAATGTGTTGAACATTTTGCTCAAGAAGCTGGTGCACTTTTATTAACAGTACATACAAATGGATTACAATTAACAAATTATTTTGCACGATTTGGTTTTATGATTGATCATTCAGATAATTCAGCATTTTGGAAATGGATAGTTGAACGACAAAATATTAATAAAATGTCAAAACATATTACACCTGATCATGATGATCATATGGATAATGCAAGTTATGTTAATGGAAGTATTGATGAAAATGATGATGTATAATACAACAGAGAGAAAAAGAAACAATATATACATGAAAAGGCAAAGCAAATAGATATTTACTATCGATATGTATGTCGGTCGTTTTTTGTTAATTTATTATACTTTAGAACAAAAAAAAGGCCAAAGTTGATATAAAGAACTAGTACATTAGATAGTTATATTCGATTGTTTGCAACTGCAAGAATGCAGAAATGTGCTTTTTTTTTAGAAAAAAAAAACAAACTTTGTTTTATTTTTAAGTAAAATAATTCAATTAGTATGAGAGAACAGTATTAAACAATGAGGTTTTGAGAAATTTTATTAAAAGTAGAATAAAGAAAACAAATGGATGATGATTTTTTTTGCTTTAAAGTTTTCACACCATCTAAAACTTAATTCATCAGAATTCAACTAATTATTCACACGAATCAAGTCTATTGAAGATATAGATCTATTGATGCATAGTAATGTCTTAATTAGGTTGTATATGTTAATGGATGGTGTGTTGTTGACGTTTTATGTTACAAAAAAAAAGACAAATTGGTATAACCTTTAATACAAAATATTCATTCTTTTTTTGTTCACTTAAAAACTACTACTTCGAGCTAGAAGCAATTAGATAGAATCAGACTTTTTCACTCTCTCCGAATATCTTTTCAAAATTTTCTTCTGAACTAAGATTGAACAACTATCATAAGATTATTTTCAAATCGTGGTCATACAGAATACTATGTTGTTCAATTTTCTATTTCGATTATAGACTATCGAAGACAAAATGCAAAACAGTTTTAAATAGATATGTGCAATGTCAGTGTAAATACTGAAGGTGGGTCATCAACACATGTGGATGCGTAGTTGTCAGCAATAGTGACCTATCGACAATGTGTCTATTAACACATCGACTACGCTGCATCGGTGTTCACTGAAGCATTAATATACCGATACAATATAGATATGTCAGATAAATCAGCGAACACCGATAAGAGACCTCCGAAGAACTCTGAAACCCGATTATGATTCCGACTCCACTGGAGTCGGAGTCGAATTTCTGAATCAAAATAGTTGATTCGGCAGGTCTCTAAAACTGATCCACTGTAGTCAATGTGAATTTTCGATGAACTGTTTACTGGAACTTGGCATGCCTACCGACACTGGAGTACTGACTACACTGACATTCGCGTTCGTTGAGACACTAGGACACCAACTCTATCAAAAATATGTCCATTTTGTAGCGGTGTGTTTCAATGCTTCTGTGAACACCAGTATCTACATAGTCAATGTGCACTAACCACACTGAGTCGATGACGTCGGTGATCAATAAACTGAAACTGCACATCCATAGTTATTAATGGTTCAGTATTCTAGAGCAAAGTTTGCTCGACAAAGCGTGCCATTTACTTTTGCATGATAGATTTTAAAACTTGTATATTTTTGAAAGCAGTTTTTGCAACACCGATTTTCATAGAAACTAACTCTTTAGTGAAAACACAAAGATGAGAATCTGCTTATCGTAATATTGTATTTTGTATAGAATTTAGTTCTCTACAATAATGCTGAGTTAGAGCTGTTCTAAACCACACACACTAAGGAGTGCACCAAAACCACACTTTGGCTTTGTACCCAAGGGGGCAAAAAGCGAGATTTCAGTGCTCCGAAGTACGATCACCGTACTTTGGAGTACTGAAGTCTCTCTTTTTTCTCTTGCTTTGTATAAATACAATTTTGAACTTTTTCTACAAGATATACTGATAGTTGTTTAATTTTATCCCCGAAGAAAAGTTTGAACATATATTCGAAAATAGCGAAAAATTTTGCTTCTGACTCTAACTAGTTGTCTTTTATTGACTGAAAAATGAGCGAATATTTTTAAGCACTAGTATGCTTATCGAAAGCAGTTTTATTCTTCATTGTTCCATGAAAATCTTGATGTTTCATAATCTGAACGAAATAATTAATTTCAATAAAAACAATTTCATTTAATAGAAAATATTGCAAAAATCGAATTAGATTTCTCATATCAAAGTCAAAGTAGGAAATACAATGAATAATCAATCTTGAAAATTATGACAGTTCTTAATATATTTTGTTAATAATTTCTTTTTCTTTTTCTTGTTATATTTTTAAAAAAACAAATATGATTTATCAATAATTATTGCTAAATATATCAACATAGAGAAAATTGTGTCAATTTAACATTTATCTGAATATAACAAGAAAGAAAACAAAAAGAAAACGAATAAATAATAATACAAATATATGAATTCGTTTTCTGTATTATTTTTCACATTTTATACACAGATACGCACACGTACATCGTAAAAATAAGGACAGATGATATTGCTAGATAAATAAAATTGACTTTAATGTATACACAAGAAAAAAAACAAACAAATGATAAAGAATAAAGCTGGAAAGAGGAATAAATTGAGATTGATGAGCAAGCACCGGCTAGAATTATGATCGATCAAATCGAAATTGTTTCATGTTTCGTTACTTTTTTTATTCAATCGTTTATGT